AAAAAAACAATACATATCTTTGCTCGATTAACCTGCAGATTCCTCAAAAGGACCGTTGAAATTTAAAATGCTAGATTCGCGCTTTGTTAACGTGTTCGCTCATACAGTGGCCATCCAGACAACTGACAATGATTTATATCCCAGGTGTCAATTTTTATTACAACAATCAGATTAAAGATATATTTTTATCATATGCGCGGATTAAATATAAAAGAAATTTTAAAAAAGTACAAAAATAAAACAAAATGATACAGCAGATTGAAACATCGAGCTCCCCTAATTTTTTTGTTGTTGAATAATATAAATTTCACCACTAATGAATGTCAGATACGCCTAGGATGCCCTGAGGGTGAGTAAATCATAGTAGGGCTGCACGATTAATCGAATGTGATTGTCATGCGCATTTTGTTAGTAAAGCCGGTTCTGTAATCAGCAGGAAATCATCATCAAGTGCTTTCAGATGGAGCAGAATTTACTACACAGAGCCGTAGTTCTCTGGCAAGTTACGCAGAAAAATCGCAGATGATTTACAGAATAAGGCACGCAACATATTTCATAGTATTCTAAGGAGTGATAAAGGCATTGCATTATAAATATACTTTATTTTAATGAAAATTATAATAATAAGAACTCAGATAAACCGTATATTGCCGTAGTCGTGTGTTTATTAGTCACGTTGAATCAATGAAAGCAGTTGAATCTTCTGTTTATTCAGCTGCAGCATTTTCTGGGTTTCTTCTGCGAGGCGTATTTGGAGTTTCAGCGCGAGAGCGCCCTCTGGCCTTTGGATGGAGATTTACTGCTGATCACAGAACCGTGCTTCACTGAAAGATATGCATGACAAATCGCAGCTTCTGTCGAATCGCGATCTCGATTCCATTTCGATTTATGCTATGGCTAATTTTCATTTTTGGATGAGCAATCCCTTTAAGGATTCCTTTATGTGCAAAACTCCTCCCAACACTGAGGGCATTTATAAGGTTTGTGATGCTTAATACCTTTCTGGATGAAACTGTTTCCACGTTTATGGCCAGTGAAAGACTTCTCTTCAGTTATGAGATAATCAGGTTTCTGATGCTGATGTTTCTCCTTCATTGTGTTAAATTTTTCACTTTGCTCATTCACGACTGTCTGAAAATGAACACAGTAAATAGTCAAAAATCAATTATACGGCAACAAATGTAAAGCAAAAAGAAATGGAAGAGAACGTCTCAGGTTACTTATGTAACCATGGTTCCCTGAGTCCTGGGACGTTAGACGGCTGTCAGTGACGTTATTCTACGGCCAAAGGCCTAGGCTACATACCCCAAAATACTTACAAAAAACTAGTGGGTTTTAAACCACTCAGAAAGAGCACGAAGCTGTACGCGTCGCTCTTACTGTACAGGATTTTAGAAAAGTGGGCAAAGCATAACGTGCACACTTACCAGCTATGTGAATTTTAGAAAGTGTACAAAGACTTTACGTGCACACTTACCATAACATGGATTTAAAAATACCGTTCTAAGGGGTTCTCGTGGCACTCTGAAAGAGCAGCCCATAGATGGAAATGGTGCATCCCAAAACGCTATGTTTGAGAAGTCATCAAGTCAATCTACGGCTAATATGCTGGAGTGACTAGCAGTAAATCTGTAGCTGAGGGAGCAATATCCAGCTCTCAATCGAGAGGGAGCTCGACCTACAGCATGATCCAATGGTGGAACAGCTAGCAGTTATTTAGCTGAGGGAGCAACACACCCAGTTCTCAATCGAGAAGGGGGCTCGACCTGCAGC